TTGCCGGGAACTGCTTTAAAGTGGAGTCTTGCCTGGATGGCAGCATGATTGGCATCCCACTCCGTAGAAGCACGAAGTTGGCCATTTGAGATGGCACCGCTTTCCATGCCCAGAGCATCCTGACATTCTGTACGTGAGAAATATTATAGTGGTTGTTTTTTTCCTTAGTATATAGCTTTGTTTTGGATTGTTGGGTATATTAGAAGATTGTAGTTTGTTATGGACGACGTAGAAAAGACTTTCTTTGTTTTGTTGCTTTTTCTTGTTTAAGTTTTTTTTGATTATGGTTAAAAATACAATTCTTTAGTGATTTTTTTGCAGAAGTAAAATCTCAGGTGAGTTTTACTTACTGAAAGAATTACTTTGCAAAGAAACGCAAATCGGGATCGAGGGCTTTAACGAGAAGTTGACGAAACACGTTGTCCCCGAAAAGAAATATAAAGAGAGGATTTGTAATTTGGTTTCGTTTTGTAAATATAAAAGCATTACTCCTAGGCATTGTTCATGCTAAGGAAACTGGGGTAAGATTTGGCAGTTTGGGCATTTGGCTGGTGTGAGCCTTTACCCTTTTCTTAATACTTTATGGGTTTACAACAGAATTGTGAAGAGTGTAACTGATAACCTGGTCAACATTTATTTCCATCCGCCAAACTGACGTTGACAGATTAATGATTTGTACACAAAGTAAAGGTTAGGGTTAGGGTTTTTTGCTATATATATTCAAATCAAACCATTCATTGTCAGGAAATCCTCGGTGGTGTAGGGGTTAAAGTGAAGCATTGCAGAGCCGATGCTCCGAGATGGAATCCTTCTAGTGCTTTCCGAAATTTTTTTCCTTAAAAAGTGAAGAGACTTATACTTTTATGAACAGAAATTTTAAGAGACAGAGAAATTTCATGTAAGAAAAGTGAAATGTCTTGTGAGAGCCACTGAGAGGAAAAGGTCAGTTTGGCGAATGGAAAGAAGTGACGACCTGATAACCTTTACATTACTTAGGTTTCTGGAGTGCTAAGTTACCGTACCTTTACATCCGAATACTTCAACTCTCATTGAAATGTGACCATACCAGGCTGTTGGTTGGAAACGGATGAAACGCGCCCTGATCGGTTTGGTAAGTTTATGGAAAACCACAGTGTCTTGATTTGTATTCCCTGCGAACTCCTAAATTAACAAAACAGACACAGTCTCTGTATTTTTATCATTAGGTAAGTCAATGGATAGCAGTTTTAGTTTTTCGAGTATATTGGAACTACCTGGCTTTTCACTGCTGGGGACAGTTGGGCTAGGGAGAGTTGTTTTTGCGAAAAATGAAGCAGCTTTCTCTAAATAAAAATTCAAGAAAAGGATAAAATTTGGAGTTTCAGTGTTTAATGGTAGAAAAAACACACTTATTTCAATTAATTTTTATAAAATCATGAAATTATAACATGCTCTTGGGAGAATTTGCGAACGTTATATTTGTAATGATCTTTTTCATTGAGAGACAAATACCTTTTTGTCTTATTTACCTGAGTTTGAAAGAATTTTTTAAAATACTTTCCCCCTCAGGGTCGTTGTACAGGGCTAAATGTATACCTATAGGCTTCTTGTCTAAGTACTATCCACCACTATTTGCTTTCCTTTTAGGGAGAGATGTTGAGTATGTTAAGGGCAAAAAAGCCACTATAAAATGAAAATTTCGTTGAATATCAGTTGTGCATAAAATAGTCAGCGCCCTGTTCGTCGTAAAAGTTTGTCTCACCTTGATTGCCACATTTCCTTGTTCCTTGTAGTAATGAAAGTTGACACCATTGTCACTGAATAGTAACTTGTATTTTGTAACCCACTGATTATATGCATTCCTGCCTTGCGTGGCTATGCGTGTTACTTTTGTATGCTGATTAGCCAAGTCAATTTGCAGCCATTGGTTCATGTCATTTGAGCGAGCTGACCATGATCCTGCTTTGCCTGGAATTGCTTTAAAGTGGAGTCTTCCCTGGATGGCAGCATGATTACCATCCCACTCTGAAGAGGCTTTTATTTGGGCATCTTGTATCGCACCGTTTTGCATACCGAGGGGTGTTTGACATTCTGCAAAAATATGCAAATCTTAACTTTCTGTTAAAAATGTACAGTAAGCTCTCTCGTAAGCGACCACCCATGGTGCACGGAAAAGTGGTCGCTTACGGGAGGTGGTCGCTTATGGGAGGACGTAACAAAGTACTTTTAAACTTAATTGATTAACGTAAGTAGATAAAGATAACAAGTACAATGCAGTTTAAAATTTGTCTCTTGTTAATCATAAATCGCCTAAATGGGGTGCATATACTTAATTGTACTCCAATTCAGACTTAACAGTATTTACATTTCACAATCACTCGGTCGCATTCGAAAGCTTCTCGACGAAATCTAGAATGCTCGATTGCTTTTGTGTTTTGAGCCTTAAGTCAAAAAGAATATCAGGCACTTTCGTCTGCAGACCCCGATTATCGGCGAACTTATCTTTACTTGAAAGTACACTCTGTACTATTATTAAAGTGTATTTTTTGCTCTGGGTCAGCGATGTTAAAAACTGAACATTTGTGACATTCGAGTAACTCTACAAGGAGAGTGGTCGCTTACCAGAATTAGAAACAGAAAACAAAAGAATATGTCAAATTTTTGGCCTTAAAAGTGATCGCGGTCGCGTAAGAAATAGGAAAAGTGGTCGCTTATGAGAGTTTTTGAAACAGTATTTGTGAGAAACAAAACGTTTATTTTTAAAGTGGTCGCTTACGAGAAGTGGTCACTATGAGGAAACTGACTGTAAACAGAATTGTGCAACTTTTCAAATCCATAAGACCCCAAGCTAAAAATATAGTACATTACTTATCACTACATTGTAATGTTAGTACTGCCTTTCCTTTAGATCAAACTGCGTTTCTTCCTTCCTGATGAGTTGCGTTTTGATTCAAAGTCAGTTCTAGACCAGAATCATCCTCGGAGACCCAAGGGCGATCAGTCGGATCTTGACAAACTGCCCCTGCTTTTTGACCCTTCGCGATTGACCACCCCTGGGTCTCCGAGGATGGACCGTGATAGCTCATGACATGTTCCAAAGTCAACAAGAAAACTTAGCATTGTTTGGTCAAATTTTCCAATATTTTCTTTTTCTATTTTGAAGCTTCACATCTTTATTATGGCGCGGGCCAGATTCCAATTCCAAAGAGTTGGCCTTCGAGTACATGGTAAAAAAGGGGCTCACTTGGAATTCCACCTTCCGCTATTGTAAAGCAGACCAACAGTAAAGGTGCCACCGTGAAAGGAATCATTTTCCCTGCGTAGAAAAGAAAAAGAAACTTTGGGAATACTTTCTAAATGTCATATATTCACCCTTGTTTAGACTCTGGACTGCGAATTCCTGAAAACACTGTAGAAATCCTACTGCAGTGTTTTTAATTTTCCCTCCCGTATAGCTTTTCTAGTGTTTCCTTCTTAAACCCAATATATATTTATATTTTATTTACATAAGGAAGTTCAGAAAATTGTGATGCATACTTCATTAACCTTCCTTACATCCGAAATTTATCTCTTTTCTCCTTTCCCCCCAAAATGTCCAATATACTTCACTACATGTAGGTTCCAATCTTCAACAACTAGAGCCCACTAAAGTCATTGGAAGTCTAGTCGTAAAATACCTCGTTAGTTAGGTATGACCCAATACAAGCACTCTTCAATACCTGTTTGATGTATTTTAGAAGCACAGCACAAATAGAAATGAGGCGGTCCAGTGAATTTTATTCGTGCTTCCAGTGAAATCTAGTCTTGTGTGCTGGACCCAAATAAGGAACCTTCAAATTTTAAGTACTTTTGTTGTTAGACAGGTTGATAACAAGCGTGCTACACGCAGGGTTTGTACAGAGTTTAAAATTCTTGAAAAAGTCTTGAAATTTGCCCTGCAGTTTTCCAGACCTGGAAAAAGTCTAGAAAATGGAGGTAAAGTCTGGAAAAATGATGAAAAGTCTTGACTTTTTTTTTCAAAGCTATAACAAGCGCTGTAAAAGTGAAAATTTTTTATTTTGGTCAAATTTTATTCAATATAGCCAATACGTTTGCAGCACATCATGAAAAAAGTTTTGTTCCTGCGTTTTCTAAGGTCTCTATTGATCACCCATTTGATAATCGTTGAGTCTGGAAAAGAAATTATTGTTTGTAAAAAATGTCTGAAAACATTCCTGAAGTTAATTTGGATTCAAAAATCGGTAGGAACCCTGTACAAGCTTGCACACGCTGAAATTGAGTTGGATTCACTTGTTAATTCAAAACAAAAGGATCTATCTATCTTTCTTCTCAGGAAAACATTTTTGGAAACGGGTGATATATAAACCGTCCTAAATAGTTAAAAAACCTACAAATAAACGCGGTCTGCTCTGCATGTATATCTTTTGTAGTTCCATAGTTTCCTCTTGTAGAAAGTTTTGGTTTGAAAAGGAGAAATCCAAGACAAATTTCCTGACTACCGTTGTCTTAAGGATTACTGCATAAATCTATGGATGTTATAAAAATAGTGTTCTTTTATATTTCAAATTTTTGAACCTGTATCTTTCTAAGTTTAGTTTTCTCATAATCATCTTTATTGATCCGCGTCGATTAAGGGGATTTGTTAGATTATATTTAACCCATCAATATTTTCACTACAGTTCTAACCAGTCTATTGTGATCGTCCCAGTCACCTAAAGTGTTTCGTGTGGTCGTCTTGATGGCCGAAACATACTTTGAGAAGGATCGCGCAGTATTTGGTGCTTTAAAAATCACGATGAATAAAGGACAGTGAAGAGCACGGGCAATTTAATACAACATCTTCCAGCAGGTTAGTATTAGAAGAGGAAAAAACGAATCAGAAGCCAAATCAAGGTTTTATAGTTGTCAAGTTTCCAAATGACACGTAGGCAAACGAAGTGTGGTTGTTGCAAGCGCGCGAAGAACTGAGGTACTATGTTTTGGTAAACGTTTTGAATGTTCTTTTGTGTACCACAGGAAAAAAAAGGGAGAAAAAGTGCCAAGACATGAAAAATATGTTCTCTTGATAGAAGAAGACGTCAGAGAGCAGTGTTATAAACTATTATTTTCGAAATTTGAGTCAATAGTTATTTTCGTCTTGCTGCGATTGGTCGTGAATTGACTGAAAGGAAATCACAACTAAAGAAATCAAAAAATTACGTGAAACATTGTTTCGTTATATCAGTAATACTCACCTGCGCAGTTTCCTCTGAAGACGTTGCTTTGTCTGGCAAAGGCTATTTCTGGCTTTCCATTTTTAATAATTTGTCAGAGTAAACACAAAGAAATTATTAAAAATTTGGATGGTAAACTAATTTTTGGCCACTTGTAAATAAATCATACTGCATGTGCTCAAGCCCTCCCAAGGCAGTTAATTGCTTTAAATAAATACCGTGGCATGTGGGATGTGGTATAGGGATGGTGGTAGGGGTGGGAAGAAATATGAAATATGCTCAATCCCTACCAAGAAATTTTCCCTTTTATCAACTTAATACCTTTTGCATCTCAAACAAATAGATGCTTCTAAAACCTTAGGTAATGAACAGTAACGTACCACTAAAGATACAATCGATACATTATCAGTCTTAACCTTTTATTGAATACAAATGGACAACGTTTCTAAGCGTTTAAATGGGTGTAAGCGGGTGGATTCCAAGGTGGTGGGAAAGGGGGAGGAGAGGAGGAGATGCTTTTGAAATAGATGGTCTTTTTGTTCCATAAATACAAGTCGTGAATGAGTGGAATAACGTGTTTCTCCATAGAAGTAGGTTCCTATTTGCGCATAGTAAAGTCACTTGTTTTGTGACCAATAAAAGTGTCTTCTGCGTACGTGCACGGGTTGAATCTTTGCGAAGGAAAAAGTAGGAAAGTGAGCAACAAGGTAAACTGTCATATTTGATAATTAAATTCGGAACAATAAACGTTAGGTAGTAAATACACTTAACAGTTATAAAATAATAAGTGTTATAACATTGGTGGCGCGCCTTTTCGCAAACTTGCACAATTTGACGGTTCAATAAACGTTATTGACCATTGTTAAGGTGGTAGTTGTTAAGCTAGATGAAGAACTGAATACTCAGGGATAATCACTACTTTAAGTGCCCAGAAAGGATGTGGAAAGTGCTGTGGACTTTGAGCAAAACTGAAAGCAATCTTAAGTCGTTGTTCTGATTGATTCATCTTTATGCTGCATCTTTGAAGTTTTTTAGGTGATTACGAAAGGTATGAACCCAGGAGTCATTTCATCACTGGGAGGAGTATAATCGTAGGAGTAAACGTAGTCCTGGAAACGACTGTTATTGACAGTGACTGACGTTTCGACAAGCTGTGCGGAGAGATCTTTAGAGTCATAGTGAATTGTATCACTTCAGTTGATGGTATTAAATAACGAGATTTTAATGCCATCAACAATTGATACAATTCACTTTTCACTCTAAGATGACTACCCAACAGATTGTCGAAACGTCCGTCACTGTCAACAACACTAGTCGTATTCCGGCAGGACTATGCTCACCTCTTTCGGATCATATCCCACTTCAGTACATTTGCGATTGCTTCCCATTTAATTCCCGCCTTTCTTATTTCACTGTTTTTGTTTCACGATCACTCATCAGACTTTCTTTGAATATTATCGAGCTGCATATGTTTAGATATGTTCGTTTATTCTGATTATCAAACACAATGGGTCAGAAAAAAATTTTGTGGTAAAGCCATTACCATTCCGATTCTGTCCACCTAGTTCATATTTATCCAGTTTGCAGCTATTATTATTTTGCCGCATATTAAAAATAAAGCGTGACAACAAAAGGAATAAAATAATTAATAAATGTCATAACAGTGATATCAATAAATATCCCTTGTTTATTCTCTGTAGCACCAGGATAATGCCTTTTTGAACATTCGATTATGAAAAGCAAATAAAGAGCTGATCGGTACGTGGGCGAGGATTTTAACCAAGTGCCGAGTCAGACATCGGCTAAATCGGATCACACACAAAATTTCTAAAGAAATTCTTTTACTCTGTCATAAAAAGGCACACAAGTTAACTAGCACCATAAAGACTTTTACTTTTCATTGGGTGATGCAATCGCGTAGTCACGTTCCATAACTGCATTTATATAACTTAGTGTAATTTAAGTCGATGGCAATAACAATAATTATAATTAGCATTAACGTGGCTTTCAATATCTGGTGCATCTCGATCTTCGCTAAAGGCTGATGGACTTCAAAGCTAAAATTGTAGCTCTAAGTGCTCCATTGTGGCAAAGATTCACAGTTTTGTTGTCTATTCCTGGTTGTTGGAATTCTGGAATCTTACCTTTCCTGTTTATGTACAAGTTAGGGTGAAGTCATACGTGGATGGCCTTTCTTACCATACGAAAGTGTCAAATGCTGCTGAAAGTTCTAATAGAAAGGAGATGAATGCTATCCTATCCTGCGCACAGAGGATGTCATTGTTTAAAGCAGTTTAAGTACTTTGATATTTTTTGTATGCCGATAGGTCTCGCGCAACTTGTTATCCTAAAAGAGGCTGTCATATCCTTATCAAGTACTTTTGTAAGTAAAAGTATGCTATCTTATTCTTTTTTACTTCTTAGATTGGATCGTCAATCGTCTTAGCAAGTTCATGTTTGTTGAGGTCAACCAAGGCACTTAATATGACAAAAAAACAATTTTTTTTGCGTGTCTTAGGAAAAAATAAGTAGAAATAGATAAAAGGCGAGAACTATATCTTCTCCACATAAGATCATGTCTGAAAGCAGTCTTTTAAACTGTTAAAATATTGTTGCGTTATATTAGTAACACTAACCAGCTCAATTTCTTCTGAAGACGCCTTTGCTTCGTGTGGCAAAGGCTACTTCTGTCTTCCTGTTGGTATTATTTGTCTGGGTAAACATGAAAAAGTTATTAAAAGTTCAGATGGTGAATTAATTTTTGGCTACTTGCAGATCAATCGTGTCGCACAAGGCCAAGCCCTCCCAAGGCAGTTATTTACTTCAAATAAGTACCGTGGCATCTGAAGCAAACGCCGACGCCTCTGTACCCTGTGTTACATAGCCTTAGTATAACTGGTCGTCTCTGACTAGGATGTCTAGATTTTCCCACTCTTACTAGAAGGTCAGGGAACAAATTGGATGGTTGGCTCGGAGTACTGTCAGGTTTTAGAGTAAACCGGGCTGTCAAACAGTGCTTAAAACCTTGCAGAAATTTGTGTTTTCGATTGTGTCTGTGGAAAATCCGCTGATTTAGTGTCAATTGGACCAAGGCTCGAGGATAAAACTTGAGTAACTCGATCTCGTTGCTGTCAACTCCAGAGGTAAATCTTATTGCGAAGTCATTTGAATGTTAAAAAATGTAAAACTCAGAACGTTTAGCAAACGTTTAAGAAACCAAAAATACAGTCAGAATTCTAACAACAGTTGACATTCGCATACGCCTCTTTGTCTGTTTTTGTGTTGTAAGGCCGGTCCCTGTTTAGAAAAGTTCAGTTGTCCTCTTAATTCTCTAGCCAAGAGCTGACAATTGCGCTCTCGAATGCTACGATTGTTTATATGTAGAAAATTTGTCCCTGTTAGTAGGAGGACCCTACAATCGAAATCCGGCCGAGCCAACTCTTTTTTCGCATATAAACGGTTCGCCAAGTTTTGTAAGGAAATGTTGGAAAAGTTGTCTCGCTGAGGGTAGCTCGGGTAGGCGAATGTAAAAATGCTGTATATATATTTTGAAGTCATAAAGTTATGACTCTGCAAAAATATCCTATCCAGACTTAATGCAAACTGGTCACTCTTTTAAATTACAAACTTCCGCTTTGCCTCAACGGAATCAAAAAGTTGTTGTGAGTATTTCAAAATTCTGTCAAAGAGGTCTTTACCTTATTTCCCAACAAAGAATTACAAAATCGAGTGCATCTTTCGCCGTGTATGTTGTACCTTTGAAATTTAACCAAAGCGCCACCTAAAACAAAGACTAGAAGGGTTTCATTATCAGCATATTTTCAAGTTAATTTTTCGTTAAAATGTAAACAATCGCACTCGTAGACATGCTGAAATGCTGGCAACGCAAATCGTCAATGATCCAAAGTAAAAAAAAAATAGATAAAAAAGGCAAGATGGGCAGGTAGTAACCAAAACCTAAAAAAAAAATAGAGAAAAAAAGCGAAGAAAAAGTTTTGCAGCTTGAGCGCACTTAAAAATTTTTTTCCTTTACGCAAATAATCGAGGTTGACGTTTTTGCTTACATTATAGCAAATTAATTCAACAATTATATTCTCCAAAGGCAAGGGAGGTATGATTATTCCCTCGCAAATTATTATTTGATACAATTAAGTCTGAGACGAATAATTGCTTAAATATGATATATCAAGGGAATATCGGAGAGAAAAAGAAAAACCTACTCAAAATGATAAATGTCATTGTGTCTTACGCGTCACCAAACAGCGAGACTATGCGATTTGAATTTCATGATTTATTATACAAGAAAAAAAAATGTTGTCCTGAGAAAACAATTCTTGGTTCGCAACCGCGTGACAAGGCGGCCGAAGAATTTACATGGAAATGGAGTTTTGTTCCCAAAAGAGAAAGATGCTTCTGTTCTTGACCACCAACATGGCCTCTGTGACGTCACGTGCAATCCAGCAATTGAAACGGAATCCATCAGGAAATAAAGAAATTTTAATCTTCAGCGGACAAAAACCTTGTACCAGAATAATTTAATGCATATTGCATTCTTTTTTACATTTTTCAACGGCTATGGATGTAATTAGTTATGTGTAATAACCCCAAAGGAAATTTCTTATGGGGGCCCGAGAAAATTTATGTCAAACTTAACAAAATGACAACTTGTACATGAAATTTTCAGAATTTCACGTGTGTTTTTTCAATTCTTGTGAAATTTGACTTTCACTATCTCGGGCTCCTATAAGAAAATTTCTTTGGTGTTATTACACATAACCAATTACATCTCTAACCCTTGAAAAATGTAAAAAAGAATGCAATATTGTTTAACTTATTCTGGTACAAGGTTTTTGTCCACTGAAAATTTAAATTACTCAATTTCCTGGTGGATTCCGTCTTAAAGCCATTTTCCCCTTTCTCTCCTTCCCCTGACACATTCTACAAAACTTCATGAGACATAAATCTTTTTCATTCTATATTTCAAGTGAAGTTTTGTTAGCTGATATCAACAGCTAGATCGACATCGAGTATTATTTCTACCAAAAGGATCTAAAAGGTCTGGGCCCCAGTTGTTCAAAAGGTGGATAACGCTATCCACCGGATAAATCACTATCCACTGGATAGCGCAATTGGTTTCCCTAACAGGGTGATTTATCCGTTGGATAGCGCTATCCAACTTTTGAACAACTGGGGCCTTTCGTTTAGAACTGCCATTTGTCAGACCTTGGCCGGTGGGTAAGCGTTATTAACCAGGTGCTGCTCAGCATAGGGGTGGCTGATAGCATCCGTTTAAAGTTTTCTAAATCATATCCAATAACGTTACAATTTCAAAAAGCCCAACTGCAAGATGAAAGACCACTCTCCTCTGGAATGCCAGAAAAAGAAAAGAGGAAATGACGGAAATGGAAAAAAGATAAAACGGTTGAAAGAACTCCAAAGAGGGCTCAATGTTTCGCGGTGCCCGCATCCACGTTTTTTCCGGCCTGCCTGTATTTTTGCAGCTAGAAATTAAAGCTGTGGATGAAAAATGGAGCATTTTCTGTCCTTTTATATGTATAATCGTTTTTCGTGTGTGAATTTGTGGCTAGCCACCCAATCGAAAGCCTGAATCAATTCAGGTTTTTTACGGGATTCGAACCCGGTGCAGCGCTCTACCAATAGACCTCATTCACGATACCCGCCATCTTCGCACGCGGTTATTAAAGACTTACGGGATAAAAGCAATGTCACGTGGTTTCTTAGGGGGCAAACAAGTGATGAAATCAGCCGATACAAGGAAAGGCGGTCGAGTTTGCTCTAGACAACAGAAAAGAAAGAAATTTTTCTCCTTAAGACGACAATAGAAATATTATGAGGAGAAGTTATCTTTGCTATCTTTTTTTGGATGTAGTAGCGACCGTAGATGTCCTCACAGGAAGCTGTTATGGTGTAAAACTTGTCAAAACTCGAACTGTTCAAACATTTTGCAGGACCGAACAGAGTAGGGAGCTTTAGAAACGACGACCGCGACGGCAACGAGAACGTCAAAAAAGTGGTAGCCTTACATAGCAAAAAAACAACTTTGCTCGTGCATCACTCTTTTTTGTACATTTCTTTGCCGTTGCTGCACGACTACAACGTGAAAATGCCTAATTTTTCGTTTTATGGAGGACGTAAACAAGAGACGACGAATTTTCTTTCTCTTTCTAAACTTGAGTGCGGTCCTCAAGAAATCAACTCCAGGGAACTACATTTGACATTTTCAGCGATTTGGAATAAACGAGACTTAGTTTGAAAAAAAGGTGAATTCAGGTTAAGGGCAACGTTTCTGCTGCCATCGCGGTCGTAGATGCTAAAGCTCCTTACTACTCAAACTCGACCGCGATTGTGTACCCGTATCGGCAAATGTTATCTCTTGTTTGTCCCCGGAAGTACCAGTTGACATTTAAAGCGTGTGCAAAAGATAGCGGGTACCGTGAATAAGCTACACTGAGCCAGCTGGGAGTAGGTTATTGAGTTAGTTCGTTAAAAGCCCTCTTGTACTGCTACTTTCTTACTTTTTCTTTTTTTTACCCGCATTCAGCCCTGTCTAGTTAATTTAAAGTAATTTATGGAACTTGTAAAATTAGGTAAAAGAGGATTTATAAATGGTATCTTTTTTAATACAAATCAATGAGAGCCCCCTTAAAAACGGGACTGTCGTGAAAATTATAATAAAAGCCCTGATTTTAGGCAACATGTTAAAACCTAGACGTGCCGTTCATTATCCACAGGTTCTTCTTTACGTGGGTACTTACTTTATCACATTCAGGCCCTACGAGCCTAAGTTAAAATTTGGTACAATGGAATTTTAGTGTACGATCTGATCACTATACTCCTATTTGCAATGTTTTTTTGCTTCAGAACTGTACATGTTTAGTAGAGATAACCCTAAAATTTCTTTACAATATGAAAGATATTCTTCATGTGTGGAGGGCGTCATAACCATAACAACACTCACCACTACTGCGACGATTACTCGCGCGGAAAGAAAGGACTCAACTTGTTTTCGGTGGAATTGTTTGTTGCGCCTTTCTTTCCCCTAAGCAAATTTTACGCTGGTCCTGTTCTTTGAAAGAAACAAAGTTGATTAACTGCTTGGATAAACACAATCCTTGAGACTGATCTCTGATCTGTCTGATAAGCAGATGTTTCAGCAACCATACAAAAGCTAACTAACACAAAACCGTAATGCTATTTAGTTCCATACAGGATTAACGTCCAAGACTCTAGTATGCCCGAATTGTCCTTTCCATATTTCTCCGGGTCCACATAGTACGTTTGAGACGACTTATGTTTCTGAAATTGACGCGATATTCTACTCCGTTCTAACTCGTCCTTATCTTCACTGATTTCAGTAATTTCTGGATATGATGCCAGTGGAGTGTCCGAATAGTCCTCCACATCAATATCTTCATCTTCTGGAGAAAGGCTCCTGGCAACTCTAGAAATATCAGTCTTTCCATCTGCGATCTGAGCTTCTAAAAGCTCTAAGTCATTTATATCAGCATGATTGATATCGTCCCGAACACGGGCTAAAAAATCTGCGTTTGATTTTTTAGATTCCGGATCCTTGGATAAACGAGACAACTGTTCTTCCAAAGCTTTCTGAAGGACCTCTAAATCTTTGCCACTATATCTAGAGTCCGCATACTCCTGCTGATCACCGTTTGGATTTTTATCTTCTCTAAGAGACGATGATTGCAAAGAACTGTCATCTTGATCTTCAAAGCTTTCCAAAACACTGCCCCCTGAAGTTGACTTTAACTTGTCAACCGCAAGATAATGTGCTAACGTTTTGTCCTCCTGGTCTCTTTCAGTGTTGCGCGTATGATTTTCTGAGCAATGAAGTCTTCGAGTGATAGATGAACCATTTTTTGGAAAAGCTGAGATGTTTCTGCAAAGACCTGTGTAATATTCATTGACGCTATCCGAACTAAGTCCAAATTCTGGACCCAAATCACCTTCCTCTTCACTTTCAAAAGCCTTTTTCATATTTTCAAAGAAATTTTCCCCATCTCCATCTTCGTATTGGTTGTCGCCTTCATCTCCGCCAGTTTCTGAAGATAAATTTTCCTCCTTTTCAGACACCTCTGATATTTCTCTAGCTGTTTCACCAGAGCCAAACAACCCGGAAGCATCTTCTATTTTTGTTTTTCTACTTTCCAACAGTTGTGAATTCTCTAAATGCCAGCCTTTGACATTTCCAGATCCGCTTCCTTGAAGGTTTTCTCCACTTCCAGAGTCGATAAAACCTCCACTTCCTGAGTTTTCACCGCCACTAGCGACTTTTTCTCCAGTTTTTTTTAGTATTTTAAAAAACTGAATTTTTCCGGGTTTGATTGGACTCTTAGCTCTGCTTGATTCGAAATATTCCAGCTTTTCATTTGGACTTGTGTAACTGCTTTCTTTTTTTGCGCCATTGAGAATTTTGTCTAATTTTGCTTTCCGTGTGTCAATCTGATTACCATTGTTTAAAGACGACCTAAGTGCGCTTGTCGAGTTCTTAAATCCTTTGATTTGTTTCCCATCCCTTCTTGATGATAAACTTTCGTGGAATGTTTCGGCTAGTTTTTGAGAAGGATCAATTCCAAATAGTTCACCAATAGAAGGATTTTTCAATGCTTCCATAGCAATTTTAGTCACTAATGGATTTTTCTGAATTTCTAATACTAGCTTTGTGATAAGATCAAGAACCTTTGCATTCTCAGATGTGTTCATCACCTTTAACATTGAGGCATTTGATTTGCTCAAAGTCTTGACGAGAAAAGGGACCACAGCTGAAGCCGCGTTCTGTTTTTCTTCTGAATTTTGTTGACTTGTCATAACCGTCTTACCATCCTGAAGTTTTTCCCTTAAAGTGACGTTTGACTTTTCATGTTTCACTGTTTTCCTTGCAGGTTTCCTCTTTTTCGACCAGTGTTTGTAATGTTTGATTGACATTGAATTTTTAGGAGTTTTTTTCCTCGAAACAACTGCACTATTTTGCTTTGCTTTACCCACTTTTCTGATGTTACTTGGTCTATTTTTCCAATAATGGTTCTTCAAACTGGCCGAATGAATTTCTTTTTTCTTTTTATGATGTCTTACCAACCCATTCTGTTTTATTTTTATCGCTGGAAGTTTATTACTTTCATGCTGAGATTTCTTTCTCTGGAGGTACTTCGAAAATCCAGGTCCGTTGAAAATCTTCTCAGCGGTGTCTTCCATCGTTTTCAAGACATGATCCTGCGCATGACCATTTATGGCCTCCCGCTGAGATTCTCCCCTTAGCCGATGTTCTTCTGTCTCGTCCATTAATACTCTGGTTACATCTTCCTCGTCTGCTTGTGTGTGCTTCTCCAGATAATGTTGACGGTTATTATTGTCATTGTCAGTAACAATTACAGTCCACGGTCCTCTAGGATCTTCACCCCAGCAATGTACAGTCATAAAAAGCCAATTCTGAAAATGTGAAGAAAGCCAGTTTTTAGTTTAATAATATAGCATTGAAATACTTGACAGTCGAATATTCTCTCAGAGACTATCCAAAATACCAAGGTTAAGAAGCAGCTGTTGGGAGGTGGTCCCTTATGATAGTCGAATTGCAGGGGGGTCTCTTTTAGGAACATACAGGTCTAATAGATGTACTTATCAGTTGATGCAAATTTTTCTTCCTTTTCATTGGCCGAGAGCCCATCATGTGATCTGGAAATAATTCCCACAAATAATGGTCTGCTCATGCGCAATGTCGTCCAACTGTATTTGGCTGCAAATAATATTCTGCTCATGCGTTAATGAAACCACGCTTTTCTCTTTCTTGCAATCGCTCCTGTTTGAAAATGGCAGCTCGCTTCGCTGACCTTTTCTATAATTGATATAACCGATCTGCTCACCACTGACAAAGCACGAGATTTTGCTCAACGTCGTCCAGTAGTTCAGGTGTTAATTATCTGCCGAAGAGGAATTACTTCATACAATTTCTAAGTTACGACTGAGTTTAGTGCCATGTCAGTGAACGTGGCGTACTGCGGACTTCAAGATCAGACCATGTGTTAAATGTTCGCTTGACAGAAGTTATTAATCACAGTGGAAAGTTATAAAATCGTCACGGCCCCCAAACTCTAGTCGCTTACGAGAAGTTTTAATTAAGGGGCTTTAGTTGAAAAAATTTTCGTGTTTTGGATATGTAGTCACACGTGGTAATTTCAACCATGGATCATATTCAATTCTAGGTCAGCAAAGAATTTTGTTAACAAAAGTTTCAAAAAAGCACGAGCGACATAAATTGATAAGAAACGTAAAACACACTTTTCTACCTGCTACTGTAGTGGAACGATCAAAACGAGTGTGATTTCAAAAATTATTAAATTATTGTAAGATCATTGTCTATTATAACAGGGCGACCAAAAAAGTATTTTTCATCATCTCATATACCTTTTAAAACAAAGGTTGTGTTACCAATATGATACGTCAGAAAATAGGTCTGAAGAGTATTCAACTGATATAGAAGGCAGCATGGCCGAGTGGTTAGAACGCTGGAATTGCAATTTGCAGGTCCCGAGTTCAAGTCCCGCCCACCGCTTGCTGGATTTGTTCACGGTAGTCCCGACTTCAAATCCTCGGTCACGCTTGTAAATAGCCAACTGGTTCGCCTCCGGCCAGTTGGGATTCTTAACCCTGTTAAGTTCAATTTGAATTGTTTGTTTCAGGCATTTGCTCGGCCCCACTAGCATAAGTGCTAAAATACTGCCGAGGGTAAGTAACAGAATTATTATTATTATTATTTTTATTTTTTAGCTACCTTGATTCCTCTGGCCGAGTGGTCATTCCGCCTGGTAGTCAAAAGCTGGCTTCTTGTCCCGGATGGTGAGATGAGGGTAATGCTTAAATCCCCTCGGTGACGGTGTTGCAATGTAACGTTTAGCTGCACGTGTTCTACCCTTCGTATTTCTGAGGACGTGCCTGAACATGCTGAGGTGTTTGCTGATAGAATCAGACTCCCAGATGATGGAATGTACCTGTTAAAGTAGATCGTTTAAAATAAACACACAGATGTATGTGTTCGATGAGGATTAGACGATGAGATTCAATGAAAGGTTGACTCATGACTTAGCGTTAGCTTGCATTCAGGATATTACTTCTAGTTATTTATGCGCATGCTCTCAAAGGCTCGGGTAAAACGTCGTCGTTCACATGAGCTAAACCTATTGCTAGTGAGCGACAATTATATTTTTGATGATGATGTGAACTGCGGAAATCCAAATTTTAAATGAAGATATGATCGTCGCAGCGGTCTCGGCGTTAGCGCTGAAGTGCACTCCATTTGAGCTATGAAGACCCATACAAATTTGTTGAGTCCATCTTAACCCGTGAAACTGAGGAATGAAACATGAAGATGAAGTGAACTGCGGAAATACACATTTTAAATGAGGGTCAACTCATGGAAGAATACTAATTGCAAATTACAATCATGGGACTGAACAAGGGAATGTCACATTACTTTTCACAAACCTTTTTTTGCTGTGCTCAGCTCCATGACATATTTTTTGTTTCTCCACGTTCTTCCATGTAAGAGCCTTGTTTACCATTTTGCTAACGTCTAACCTTCCAAAACCAAACTTGTGGTTGTACCGTTTACCTGCGCCGTTGGTCTTCCATCCCTCATCCAGCGGACTTCAGTGGACGCTGCTGAGATGCTACTGCACGACGTGCAGTGCGGTCCAATTGGATCCTGATTTTTTTTGTCGTATAAAAGGCGAACCATTACTGATCGCTTCTGCAACGTTTTTTTTTTTGTCTTTTTTTTTCAGCACATAGACGTTGCAGTAGAGTAGATATATTCCTCACACTTCATTTAGCTCTGTAAGATGATTACTGTTAGTCCAGCCACTTACTGGTGGTAAGAGTAATAACACGATAAGAAATCGCAAGCAGCTGATAAAATCTGACTTGAAATCAAATTGAATGCCGTGCCAAAAGGAGACCGAAGGCCATTTGCACGATAGTGTCATTTTACTACTATGACAAGAATCCTTTTTCTTTTTTTCTAATTATACCACAATTTGGTAATCACAGCAAGGTTAGAATAACAAAAACCATAATTTCCGCACAGGAACGTATTCTGAAGGATTCTGGTCGTAGTAGCAAAATAACGTCGTTATGAAATTAGCCAAGTTTATATCAATACAAATACATTTAAATTTGCGTTGACTTGGGGGCCTTAAGGTAAAATGCCAGCTAGTTCATAAAAACTGTTGACCAGTCTATATGGCCTCAGAAGATCAAGTAAATCATTATTTTGATTACGGTATTTTGACGATATGTACGTACTTCGCTTCTAGTACAAGAGCCAGCATTCCTGCAGCCAGTGGGGCTGCGGAAGATGTGCCTTTGAAGACTTCAGTGCATTTGTGATGTAGATCCGTGGTCACCTAAAACAGAACAGACGTCAAATAGCGCAAATGGAGCAAATAAAATCTCCAGAACATTAAATGACAAATAGCGGCTATGTTATGATGCTTGCTTCAGTCCAGCCTTGAGTTATGAATACCGATCTTGTTTTCTTTTTGGTGTTATGCAAAATTTGTTATTCTTGGTTTGCAACCACGTGGTAAGGCGGCCATGTTGGTGTTCAATACAATATATATAGTAAGGTAGGAATACACTTATAAAGGAGAAGAAGAAGGAAAAAAAATAATGGCTTGGTTAGAAGTGTACGGTGGTCAGAGGAGCTTAGCTTTCGAGCTAACCACCGCAAGTAAGAATCGAACCTGGAGCGTAGTGTCTGCAGTCCATCACCTACACCACTACGCCACTGAGGATTACCCGTCGTGGATTGGTTTGATTTAAACAACTCTAACCCTAAATAGAAGCTAACCTTTTCGAGTCAATGCTCAGCCCAAATCACTATAGTCAGTTCTCGAAACCAAAATGGTAAGGAATACTACGTTGTGTAAACTTCAAAACGTGTCCAAGGGCCTTTCGACGAATTTTATTGAGGAACATCTTTTCCTTCCCGCCTTCCTTTTCGCGCAAATTTTTAGCCAGAGACGTCTGGGTACGAGAGAGGTTTTACATGGTCATCACTTGCAAACATCGGGCGATTTTATTTTGTAATGGATAAATGTATTAACAGTTAGTTACTCTGTAATGTGTTATTACGGGGATAAACACGACTGAGAGAAAAAACTCTGCTAGATCATTGCCAACGGTGAATTGAAAACCTAAAGAACTTACAACTTTGTTCTCTACTGTCTCTCTATGTGATCCTCCAGAGAATGTGACGGCCAAGGTGGATGCGCATGTCTCTGTATAATACGTAGAAAGACCATGGTCACTAATGGCGCCAATTGATATGGTGTATATACTGGTAGTGTATCCATCGCAGTTACAGTCGTCATCTGTTAGTCCTCCATTGCCAGTTGCCCACACATAAATGTTACCTTTACCTCCACGACCCTGGAGAAAAATAAAGGGTACTCAGCACGTTTTCTTAGTTTGCGATGATTTTGAATGAGTTGTTGAACCAGGAAATAAACAATGGTGCAAAACGGATCTAAAGATCTTCTTTTCAGTTTTGTAATGCTGGAATGCTGAATTTGGTAAACAAGGCGATCTACCTTTCCCGGCAATTTGGAGGTCTTCAGCGAATGTCATAATACTCCAAAATAATATAAAACGCTTTATTGTTCTCAGGTTAACACATGTATGTGGCGTTCACCCTAGTTTGATCTAGAATTTGTTTGTTTCCCAGCCAAATTATTATTCTAAAGAGATGAAAGAAGTTCTCGTTTGAGGACAGATTTTACCTACAAAATACACACGACAGAGAATTAATAAACTCTGCTGGATCATGAGATGCTCGTAACGTAGATTAACACAAACTTATTGCAAGGCTGGCAATGCGACACAACAGACCATCACAGCAATGATGAAAAGCTGACATTTCAAACGCCACCGATTCCTGCGTCAAAGTGAATCACCACGGCAAAAGGGTAATTTTCATATCAATATTGCAACAGTAAAATATAACCTTTGTCCAATCACTTTCGTTTATTTCATGCACTAAACTAGCTCTAGGAAATTCAGAGAACATAGGCAAGGGAAAGACAAGAGCGAAGAGAACTTCATTAGTTCGTATATCATTTATGTCCAAGAGAGGATAAAGGGGTTAAGTTTCAGTAACATACAGTAACCTCAAAACGGTACCTATGGGAAAATAAACCAAATTTTTCTGCCTCGCTAAAGTGGGATATGGAAAAGACACTAAGTAGTCTGAAATGTTGCCCATCTCCTCGCGCCACTCCCTTGCCGCCCGTTGAAGAGGTGGGGGGGCAAGGGACGGATGACAATCAGTTTCAGACTACACACCATGCAGTCACACGGTTTTCACGCAATTCACAAAATTGAATTATTACCCGCTCAGCACCAATTTGAAGCGCTTTGCCAGCCAGGTAACCAGGTTTTCCAAATCTCGTTCCATCATCTTTTGGGCCCCAACAGCAGCTATAGATGTCGATGTAGTCGGCGCGATAGCTAAGGGAACTCCCCTCAATTGTGTCGGTAGCTTTGCCATCTAACATACGAATACCTTTTAAAAGAATTCATTACAGATTAAAAATTATCATTATTAGGGCAAAAGTTTGAGCAGGTTTCTGCTGATTGAGAGAAAATTCTAATTTCTATTACGCGGAGAATCTAACCAGAGTTTCTTGCGTTTTAATTGGTTATTTTATGACGTCGTGTGACTTAAACTTAAGGGCTTTTAAGCTAGTGTGCGACGGTGCTGAAGTTGAAGTCATGAATGATTTTTCTTTGAAAAACGGACGCTATAAGGGTATGCAAGTAAGTTTAAAGGAAAAAAATCTGACTGTGTTCAAGACGTAGACTAGACTAGTTATAGCCACCTATTTTTGCGTACCGAGATAGAGTGCTCATTGTAAGGCCATTCCAAGAAAATGTTTTGTTTCCCATCGCCCGACCGACCCATTGTTTCGAAAAGTAAAAAAAAAATTCTAGACTCACTAGTCAAAGAAGCAAGTACTTTAATTTACAAGCACACGATCTTCTTTTATTAACAACAATTTATATGATGTGATGTCTTTGTCTTTAATTAACATCGATACTACGTTTTTTAAAGGCTGTTTAGACATTTGATAGTAAAAAAGACCACGTTTTCGGGTTGACTTTGTAACCAGGCTTTCTTACTTAGCAGCCCTGCCTTCTCTGGAACCCAGACCCCTTCAGACCCCTTCGACCCACCATCACAAGAGACTGGGCGATGGGAAACGAACCATTTTGTTGGGATGGCCTAAGGAGCGGAAATTTCAAATCAGTGTACCATGGGGAAGGGAATCAAATCTCTCTCTCCGCTATATATCGTGACATCCAGATCCTCGGTATTTTTTAACTTAGGATGGCGGCACATTACTGTAATGGCTCGATCTCGATGATCTTTTTTAAAGCGGCAAAATAGGAGAATGTAAGCAGTTTGCATAAAACACCACTCTTTGATTTGTAATGCATTAATATAAAATGATTTCACCTCCAATGCTTGCATTGAAAGACACTCCCACTCCGCAGATGCCATTATCCGCTTGGGCTGCTACCTCTCCTGCGCACTTTGTGCCATGACTACAGAAATATACGGTAGGTCAATCAAACAGGAATCAATTGTAAGATTAGTTCCGGAAAATTTCTTACAACCTACATTTCACTGTATTTTTTACCAGTTTTCCAGGTTATCGTCACGTGGTCTTGGATCCCCATCAAAGTCATTGAAGTCAAAACTTGCGTCAGCATCCTATAGACAATGGATTGAAAACATGACGCGATAAATTTCAACGTAGCATGTTGTCACCGATAAAAGTGAAAAAATGTTTTTTTTAATTTTGCTTATTTACCATTTACTAAGGTAAACCGGTAGCTTGGCGGTGTGGGCAGATGGTGATCAAGGACTGGTAAATTTCATTGTAGTAATGGCGCAAATGAGAAAAAGCCGCGAAAACCTGAAACTGGTATCAATGATGAGTTTGAAGAAATGGAACAAGAATTTCCGTTTGTACATTCCGTCCGGCGAGAAAAGGAATACTTTTCAGACGCTCTATTGCTCCGGGAAATTTTTCACTGGAACTAACCCTAAAACTTTGTCGTGTTCCATTTACTTTCTAAAGGGTTTTTTTAGAAACGGTTTGCAAATGGCAAACCAGCCATGTCTTCGTTTGGGTAAGGGTTCATATTTCAAGGGTTTATACTACTACATGAGAAATTTCTGCAATTTGATTGGCCTAGAGCAGTGGTATTTCAGCTTAATTTGAAATACCTAAATGGGAAAATAACAAACCTTTTGCGGGTAGTAGTATAAACAAATAATACCATGATTTGTACGTGATATTTGGCATAAATACCACTCCTGATGTTTTAAAATTGTCTCAAATTTCACTCGCCTAACGGCTCGTAAAATTACGTTTAACAATTTTAAAATATCCCTCGTGGTATTTATGCCAAATATCACTACAAATCATGCTATTACCTATACTAATATTACTGCCTAAGGCCGAAACATCCTCTCTGAATTTGTATTACCGAACTTTCTATTACAGAGCGAAGTGATGCCGTGTCAAAACCTCCTTATTCTTTAAGTATAACTTGGTCTATATGAGGGGTTTCACGGTCATTTCCAAGCCTTTTGAGGCCAGAATAGCTATAAAGTGCCTCAAGTCTAATCAAAGAGACTCGTTCACGCTATTTGAGACAGCTAAGCTAGGGTTCAAACTTTTGCGATGTTCTTTATTTTTATTTTCGAGTGTAAACCATTAGGAAATCTGAATTCAACTAATACGCTTGTGAAATATTTAAGTTTCAATGTTGTTGGAAAAACTCACGTAGTTGTTTTTCAGGTCTGGGTGACTGTGATCAACTCCTGGAAATGAAAAAAAAAAAAGAAAAATCATATAAAACCTTGGTTATTGCGGGCGACAAGAGGAGCTATGACGCATTAGTCAGCTTTCGTGTGGACTTCCACTAAGAATAATTGGGATGCACAGAGCGTATCTGCTCTGATCAAGCGCTTCGGACCCTCTATAAGTATAAGCGCTATATAAATATTTTATTATTATTTATTATTATTATTATTAAATCTGATAACACGCATTTTGATCTTCTTCAAGCTTGAAACTTACCCAAAGCACAGCATTGGAGCAAGAGCGTATTGACCTTCGATCGATTTCGCCCACACACCCTAATCTTTGTTATTACTTGTTTAGTAGCTATTATAGGTTTCCTTTTAACACGGTCTCGCGCCATTATCTGAACAAAAAACTCAAAGTGAACTTTTCGAAACTTTGTTCGCATTTTGTCAAGATAAGTATATAGCATTAAGGTTAACGGGGCGTGCAAACAAAATCAAAATGTTAAAAGAAGCAGGCTCGACACGCATATTTCGCTGTTTGTGTGTACTTTTTTTTTTTGTAAAATGGTCTCGATCGAAATAAAAGGGCACAATTCAAAAAAGTGATTTTATAACTCTTTTACAGTTGCCAAAATTTCAATTTCAATAGATAAATTTAAACGATGGTTTCAATTTACAGGGTCGTTTGTCTAAACACTTACACTATACGCCCTTCTTCTTTGTTCATGATTAAAAGTTCAACTCAGTTAAGTGTTCTGTTAACTCGGTAGCTTTCCATCGTAACATCCGTTGTTTTCTTTTTTTGTTCTCATTGTACCGCTATGCAATTTATGTAAGACTTATTTTACATTTTTATTTAAATTTCATTTAAAATAACTTACCGTCATCGAGGACCGAGACCACTACTCCTTTACCGGAGTAACCTTGAGCCCAGACTGGTAAAACGTTGATATCAATTCCCCGGGGACCAGAAGATTGTCCGATGTTTTGCTGAGGAAAAAATAACGAGAAGAATTTTCTCAAAATCAGTTAAAGTTATCACAATTGAAACCCTTACTGGAAAGCTACAACAGTCCACTACTGAATGCTGAAAGCTACATCGTAGTTGCTTTGCTTTGCCGTTGATACGCTTTGTGATTGGTCAAAAATAAAAACTCACGCCACTTTCAGAAGTCACGGTGGCATAAAGAGCGTGCACGCGCTTGACGGTGGCTACACTAATTCGATTCGATTTCCGACTGGTCAACTGGATTGTCTGTAACTGTTCATGCTTCGTTTCTTTATTTCTCGTCTGATTTACTACACAATGTCAAGGAAGCTTTGTGGTTCCCTTTTGCTTCCTATCATAACAGCATATAGAGCTCTACCGAAAGATACATGTATACATGTTCTTTAACCATCATGTTGATGCTGGGCTCAAAACACGTGACGACGAAGTAATTGAGGCTGTTGAGAACTTCAAGTATCTTGGTTCATGGATCAGTGACACAGAACATGATTTTAAGGTCAGAAAGGTCTCAACTTGGATAGCTCGCGACAAAATTGAAAAAATTGTGGAGCTCAAAGCTGTTACAAGCATCGAAGATCAAATTGTTCCAAGCAACTGTGGAGTCTGTCTTTTCACGGATCTACTTAAGGTTGTTATTTTTCATATCGTCATTTTATTGCTTTGGTAACTTTGATGTCAGCAAAATAGTGCTCATAAAAGATATTTTCTCCTTATATGATATCGCTGTGGTGTTCATTTTCCAATATCTTTGCTAATGGCGACGTAGATTGTGCTTGAACTTGGAAGTTATTGGCCCTGGAAACTGATGCAGTCAAGTCACCTTCAAACAGAGTCTTTCAATCGGGATGTCAATCCCTCATTCGTTAATTCTCTCTAATAGAGGGCCTGTTTTAACTCTATGGTTACTTAATTAAGAAAGGTCTTTTGTTGATGAATCATGTGCGACTTTTCCCGTTAACACGCTATCTTTGTATTCCAGTTCGATGCACTTGCTCATTTGTAAAAGTATATGTTTGAAATATTCAGTACGTACTAGGTACCACTGATCTTTGTAGAAAGGATCGCGTATTGTAACAGCGGTGTCCCGTCGCAGTCTTGCTACCGCCCTCTCCACCAGTTCATCCTCTCCTGGAATGACGTCACGCTTGCTTCGTTCCAGAATCCTTTGCTGTTCTACCCATTTCACCTGTGAAGAGTATAATGCTAACTTAAGACAGGACCAAAACTGAGTCAAAAAGTAAAACATTACTCTTTTCTCAAAACCCTGCACTGCTGAGCATATCACTTATAAATAGTCCGATCTGATTGGATAGTCATGATTAATAGCGGAAATTTCTTTACAACTTGACCGGTCTGGCCGGCGAGTCTAAACAAATGGAAAGCGCCCTAAGATGCCTGTAAGTTTGTATATATATATATATATATATCCCTTATTACACCCACAGACGAAAGTTTTTCAGGGAAACTGCCCTTCGTGAGCTCTGTATTAGTGCCACTCCATCAATCTTACGGTCAGCTGTCGTCGTTTTATTTTTCATTGGTTAGCTAAAAGTTGGCATTTCATTCTTGTCTGAAGCACTCTGCATTCCTACTAGGGTGTGCGTTCTTCTTTTTCTTAAGGATATAATCACTATTTATCCGAGGGCCCGGGAAGAGAGCACTAATCGAAATGATTGGTTGCCGTGCAGTTCTCCAAATCCTAACTCTATACACCAGACCAAAATTTTGCGTCTGGACTTTTAAGAAATTAAAATTTCTCATCCCAATATTCTGTTACGAAGCGGTAAATCAATCACACCGACACGATCACAGTCCCAAAACATTTTTGTGTAGTTCTAACCGTTTGCGTCTATGGATGAAATTCTATGGTGTAACAATTCAAGTCAAACCTCTTCAGCAGTACTTTCACATGCTACTATCTATTTAGTATGTAGAGTGTGGATGAAATCCTATGGTGTGACTATTCAAGTGAAGCCTCTTCAATGGTGCTATTTATTAGTCGTTGTTCTAAGATTCTTGAGTTTGTGATCAAATTTTTCTGATGTGACATTTCAAATGAAAATTCTTTATCAGTACTCTCACATGGTTCTATATGGTTTATTGCTTAGTGTTTTAGAAGATGTAACTTGGGATTTTTGTTTTGCTTCATTGAGGGTTAAGTTACGCTCCATATGATTAGCACGTCTCTTCAAGCTGGTTACCCTGGGTTCAGTGAGCCGTTACTCAGGCAAAAAATTTATGAAAACCATTTTCACCTTGTAAAGCATTTCCCTTGGCAACTTTCTCTATATGATTTTTTTTTCAGTGTAGAATGAGGGATGTGTTATAAGCGAATATTACGATTAATTAGTTTTATTGTCTTCTAGTCAACATCCACCAGCAACACACCAAATAATGATAAAAGACACAGACACTGGAAATCTTACCCTAGGCTCGGATAACAATGTTTCGCTATGTTCGTCCAAACTTCTGCGCGATCTTTCCCCCACAGAGTGTTTGACAAAGTGATAATAACCCGGAAGACTTCCTATCTAGGAAAACAAAACACCATCTATTTTAATGGCAGGTTTATCATTGACGGTTGTTGATCCTTAAAACGTGACACGATTTCTGGTACCTTGCCTCTTTTTGATAACACAACAACCGGTCGCCGGAAACACTGCCCTCGACTAAACAACAAACTAAGCGTTTGAAATTTCTCGCAGAGTTGGCCCTGGTTTACAACATGAATTACGTTATATTTTAAAATCACGTGCTCCAGAATATTGCACAGAGCTCTAGAGAATTTCACCTACCTGTCCTTGATTCACAAACCCGTGTTTTTTCGCAATATCGTTTACAAGATCGATGTCATCATTTTCGATGTGGACTGCCCAAGAGTTGGTGAAGTGGACGTCTTCTCCGCTTTCTTCGTTCGTGGTTGCTAAAGCAATCCAGGCCAGAAGAAAAACGGCCACGGAAGCTCGCATATCGATGCGCTAGACATTGGGTATTTCGTTTCCTTAATATTGCGCGGGAACCTTCTGACATTAAGTGCCGACCGGTAATTTCTTATTCTTACTCAATATAGCCAGCCTCACTTTCATTGCCTCTGATTCATATTACTGTTTCCCTTTTAAGGTCATTGCAAACAAAGCGCGCGAAAGGCAAACACTTAACGAAAGCTTGTTTGTTTCTTTGGATATAGAATCGTCGACAGTTTCTTGATGGGAATTAAAGCAACAAAGTTATCTACGGTTCTTTAAATTCAGTTACTCTCCTTTTAAGAGAATTCATTGTTTCACTGATTTGAAACTGGGAACTGAAGTGCCAACTCTAATCTCGCTGCCTCTCATAACTTGAATTTGTTGCGGCTCAAACAGCTTTAACAGGATTCACTTAACAGATTAAGAAAAAAAAATCGACAACGTTACTTGGGTGGGATCAAAATGCTCCTAATTTGTTTTTACTTAAGGGCTCTCGTCACTGTCCGGTCTATTAGGACTTGTTTTGCCACTGACAATCTGTAATTTTTCGTAATAATTTTTCGGCAAAATGAACTCAATGTCAAGAAAATGNCCGACCGGTAATTTCTTATTCTTACTCAATATAGCCAGCCTCACTTTCATTGCCTCTGATTCATATTACTGTTTCCCTTTTAAGGTCATTGCAAACAAAGCGCGCGAAAGGCAAACACTTAACGAAAGCTTGTTTGTTTCTTTGGATATAGAATCGTCGACAGTTTCTTGATGGGAATTAAAGCAACAAAGTTATCTACGGTTCTTTAAATTCAGTTACTCTCCTTTTAAGAGAATTCATTGTTTCACTGATTTGAAACTGGGAACTGAAGTGCCAACTCTAATCTCGCTGCCTCTCATAACTTGAATTTGTTGCGGCTCAAACAGCTTTAACAGGATTCACTTAACAGATTAAGAAAAAAAAATCGACAACGTTACTTGGGTGGGATCAAAATGCTCCTAATTTGTTTTTACTTAAGGGCTCTCGTCACTGTCCGGTCTATTAGGACTTGTTTTGCCACTGACAATCTGTAATTTTTCGTAATAATTTTTCGGCAAAATGAACTCAATGTCAAGAAAATGAGCTTGCCAAGATGGCGAAACTTGTTAATTACGCCATCTCGATCTAACTCGACCTGACATCCAGTGCTTTCCCGCACAACTTGAAAATGTGACTGTGATTGTTAGCAGAAAATTACTTCTATGCTGTTGAATTGCTGTAAGTTTCGCAGTTTTTGCATTTTGAAGAGGTGTAATTTTAATTCACTGAAGATATTCTCCACTGTCATTAGTAAAGAAGATTCTTTTTGTTTTTAAGAGCAGCTTAATCGGTGACCCACATGAATTTTAGGTCAAATGTTTTGCCGTTGAAGCATTTGTGTCGTGTTGATCAGGGCGCACATTAACAGCTGATGCGGAAACATATCTGCCTCTTTCAAGGGCTTGGATACTGCTACGCACAAGTAAGCGTGACAGCATCAAGGCGCTGGTGTGTCCAACCAACTTATTCGACCTTAGAGGGGAGAAGATATCTCCTTCGCTGGTTTTCTATGCTTGGATGCATCGCTGTGCTGACAGGTTGATATGGTTTTAAAACAAAAATTAAACGGTAAGATAGTTTTGTGAATTAACACCGGTTCTCGATTCGTTTATTTGTAGATATCACCTATTAAAAGTGCAACTGAACTAATGTATGTCATGTAATAACGAATTCCTCTCCCACAACAGACATTCAATATGTAGTGGGAAGATCAAACTTTAACTTGAACTTTTTAATAGGTACAACTATAATCAAGCCCAAGAATGAAACTTTTGAAATCACCTCACGCTTTTGTATTATGAAGGACTGGCCATTGTATTTTACTAAACATGAATGACTCCAAGCAAATGCAAAGTGAGAAGCAGTAACATGCTGAGACACTTCTTTTAAGCTTATGTTAAATTTTGAGATATAATAAACACTGTAACTTAAAATAGCTTGCTGGTGCATTTGCGAGAGATAAGATTTACACAGAGTATCGACGAAATAAAAAAGCAGTTCAACTACATTAGTTCTTTAAAGAAAAATGGTTCACTAGTTCTGTCAATACTCTACATTCATGCTAGTCAAAGGCTCCAAATAGGCATGCTGCTCGAGAAAAACCCAGTGTTACTAGAGGCAATGTGACTTTACTTCCTGAACTATAGAGGTATCTCACCAGTATGTCAGTATCGAGTTCCACTAACTTAGTTAACAAGGGCGGTGCAAGCCCTTTGAAAAGGCTTTTGAATACGTATTACAACTTATATATAGACGAAAGGTCCTTTAGTTGTATTAAGAATTCTCCTTTATTGAGCCAATTAACGAATTTTTGTTTTTGTATGTCATACCCTAGGCTTACTTTTTCCTGGTAGTGTAAATTTTATTTCATGTGTTCTCTTCATACTTGGAACTAAATCGAAGCTTCGAAGTCATATTTTTGCCAGCTAAACGTTCAATTATCTGGATTTCATTGGAAATATCTATACATTCAACAAATTATGTGATACTATTTCTCTATGGATTGTTTCTGTAGACGATCGGTTTTCTTCTTACAATGGAATAAAAAGAAAGGAAGAAAAAGTTGCCTTTGAAAAGCTTACACAAGATATGAAAACTACGAAATATTTCCCTGATAAACGTTAGAGAAACAAAAATAATCTGACAAAGGTTTTTAATGTAATTTTTTTTTTCAACTAAAACCACTAAGCGTATTTATTTGATTCTTTCTAATCTTGACCGTTCTGAAGCAAAAACGTTTACGTTTATAAATTATAAAGATAAGGAATGTTTTTTTTTCTGCGATTTACTGTTGCAGCAATTAGGTCTACTTATTCAAGACATGTAAGTAGCTGTTATTTAGTTCCATATTAAAGCAAATATATTTCTTGACTAGGAACGTAATGTTCGATGAACCATTTGACGTAAAGTTAATGGTCATGTCATGCGTATCTTGCACTTGTTTTAGACTCATGAAGCGCGAAATAAAACATGGAACATCCTCTTTGCTATTTACGAAAGCAAAGAACCGATCACAAATAATGACAAGATGATTCCCGGTGTCCAAATTTTTTTGCTGTGTTCACATTGCTGTAACGGAAAGCGCAACAAACCGAGGAAAGAGTAGGCTCGACTTTTAACCTTGAAGTTCTTATTCAGTTTTAAACTGCATGATCTTATTAGGAAAATGAAGGCTGTGTAGCATGCTTCAATGCATTGGCCAGACCGAATTTTAGGTTATTTCGTGCTCAGTAGTCCCTGCCAGGTTACAGGCTTATCGAGTTAGTCAAGAGCCGATGAAGACTACGGTTACTTCAATTGTGCTGCAGGCCGCCCCTTGAACTCGTTCCAGTCGAAGAGGGAGAAAGAAGCCTAGAAAGCTTGACCAAACAAGAAATTTTTTAGTGATAGACAGTTAGAGATAGATGCATCCAGTTTCAGGTTTTTCACATATAATTTTGCATCCACTAAGCTGAAATACGATGATGCTTAAAATACTGAAAATATGAATGTCAGCTATTAATGATGAAAAGTGATAAAAACTATTCTCAACAATGGTGGTCAGTTAACATTTAAGCATGCGCCTCTTTCTAAACGTTAACACTTTGTGGTCAAGTCAACAAGTTAAAAGTTGTTTGTGACTGTCGTTAACTAGCCAGTTTTTCATTGGTGACTTCACAGAACTTGTTTGGATTCGTTTCTTTTTAAGAACGCGTACACTTACAACTTTCGCCATCTGGTTGAACAAACCACTGCCGTCTTGGTTGGAAGGATTCGTAAATATTGTAATTGTTTTGACAATTTGCTGTTAGAACTTAACCAAGGACCCAACAAGCGTCACTCCTCCCACTTTTTCGGTTGTTCTGCTAGTCCTGACATACCATAAGTAATAAGAAGGACTGGGTCGGGCAAGATGTCGGAGTAGACGTGTGCGATTTTGCTCCGCGCTTGGCAATGTTGTATGGCCGAAACTGTTAAACGAAAATCGAGGAAAAGCTCTTCAGCATCTTCCACAGACGATAATCTTTCCCCAGATGGCAAAAAGTTAAGACACGACGCTTCGCTCTCAGATTCCGAACTGTGTGAATCGGACGAAGTGTTATCTATACTGAATATGGCGGGGGAAGTTATCCCGAAACTTGAACAAGTGTTGGAAAAACTTGAGAATTTGGAACGGTATGTAAAAGCAGTTGATGAAAAAGTTAGTAATTTGCAGGCAAAGGTGGATTGTTTCGAGGCTTTCAAAAACAAAACAGAAAAAAA